TCTACTAGAGTTTCATCCTCAAACCATATGCTTTCAAATATGGTAGGAATATTTTTCTTTCAACCACTAGCCATTCTGTTTCCCTTCCCACATGTTAGCTAAGCTTTTATAATTTGAAGACAAGTAAGAATGAGAAAGCTGAATTCACTGTTGCTTCTAGCACACTTAGTCCAGCATAGCAGAGGAGAGCTGATGTACATTACACCAACACAGGGAGCAATGGCCAGGAGACTTAGTCTGTCCTTAGTCTCCTATCAGCTGGCCATGTGGATGGGGGAAGTTGGGGTCCCCCTCTTTACAATTGCAGGTGGCACTTCGGGGCTTTCTCTGGGTGCCATGGCTCTGAAGTTCCATCGGCAATATCACGAGACCCTTTGGTGGAGGCTGGGAGCCCCCCATGCAGACACACCTACCTCCTGCTCGCTAGTGCCCTGTTGTACCTGTGAAAGGACTTCCGGATTTCTGTCTGATGACACCCCCTTACCAGTCATACCCCTTATAATGCTCACCCAGATTTCTTGTTCCTGCTAGCCATTCAGTATGTCTATGGAGAGGCAGTGAGAAGAGAAGTTTAGCACTCAGATTCCAGCCATGCTGTCAGGTTTTAATTCTGGGGATGCCACTTCCTGCCTGTGTGACCCTGGGCAAGTTACTTCACTGCTGTGGCCTTCAGTTTCTGCATCTGTCATATGGGGATGCTGCTAGCGTCTGCTCATAGGACTAAGTGGATTTATATTCTCTTTCCCTCTCTGGAATGCCAGTTCCACGAGGCAGGCATTTGATGAGTGAATGACTGAATGAGCAAGTGCACGAATGCCTCATATCTCTTTGGCATTTTACCTGAAAGAGTTTATTTTCATAATACCACTGGAAGCAATCATCATCCTCTCCCATCTGAGAGCACCCCGATTTATATATATATATGTATAGTGCAGACTCCCCAAGTGGAGGGACTGGTGTGGGCCCAGATGTCCGCTAACAGTCTGATTAGTTGCCGGATACCTTCCTTTCCCAGCCAAGAGGAAGGCTAAATGTGTGCTCCACTCATGACCAAGAAATACCTCTTGTGGAAAAATGTCTGATTGGAAAGAAATTTGGGGCACAGTTGGGGGATTTGAATGGAATAATATTAGATGATATCAAGGGACTATTAAAATTCTGTTTGCGGTGTTGGTAGCCTTGTGGCTGTGCAGGGAATGCCCTTGGTCTTTTTTAAAAAAAAAAATACTGAAGTGTTTAGAAGTAAATGTCATGATGTCCCTAATCTAAAATACTTTAGCCAAAAAAAAAAAAAGGTGAAACTGATATGGCGAAGGTATAGCCGGGTGATGGCACACACGTGACATCAGCAGCTGTCCTCCTGTATCTGTTCTGCGAATTGTTTCCAGGGTCCTCCCAGGGATGCCAGAACTCCAGAGATGCTTGATTTCCATACATAAAATGGCATGGTGTTTGGCTATACCCTATGCATATCTTCTTTTATATGTTAAATCAGATAACTTCTAGATAACTTATAATACTTCATATAATGTAAATAGTGATCATACTGTGTTGTTCAGAGAATGATGAGCAAAAGTCTTTCTGTATGCAGTACATATGCAAAATTCTGTTCGGATAATTTCCATCCAGAGGTGGTTGGACTGCCCAGACAAGGAGCTCATAGAAACAGAGGGCCAACTGTGTGCTGTGCCCCGCACTTTTCCATGCATTTGAAACATTTTGCAATAAGAAGTGAAGAGAACAAATGGTCCTGCCTGACCGCAGCAGTCCTTGCGGGCCAGCTCTGTGTAGCTGCGTTGTGAGCCCTTCCATGGGGTTGGAGAGGTGACCAGCTCTGTGTTTCTGCTGCCCACAGGATTTCCCTGGAAGACCTGAGCCCAAGTGTGGTGCTACACATGACCGAGAAGCTGGGCTTCAAGAACAGCGATGTGATCAACACCGTGCTCTCCAACCGCGCCTGCCACATCCTTGCTATCTACTTCCTCTTAAACAAGAAACTCGAGCGCTATTTGTCAGGGGTGAGTGGGACCTTCTGTCCAGAACACTCCAGGGATACCAGAGGCTGCCCAATTGCAGCTTAACTAACATGAGGCTGAGTTTCTCCAGTGTGGGAAAAGGCAGTGTCTGGGAAAGGAGGTTGACATGCTTCAGCATCTAGAGTTGATTAAATTGCCCTTCTTTATTTTATTTTATTTATTTATTTATTTATTTATTTATTTATTTATTTATTTATTTATTGGTACTGGGAAGCAGACTCAGGACCTTGTGCTTGCCAGACAGGCACTTGTGCTGGTGAGTTATCTCTTTAAATGGACAATGATTCAACAAGAATTCTACCAGGAACATTGGCTCCAGGTCAGCGTGGATTCTGCACATGCTTACTCCTGTGCATGTTCCCAGAAGGGTGGGTGAGGAACAGATTGAGCAGGAGATCAGCCAAAGAAACTCAGGACTGGCAGGATACGTGCCTGATTTGTGATTAAGAGTTCACTGTTATGAAAGATAACCTGACCCTGTGAATATTGTACATTGAGATCTGGTGCTGTGTAGTTGATTCTGTTAGGAAGATACTTAGAATCTAGATAATAAGAATAGTCTGCTAGAGCTTTTTCAGTGCAGTTTGAAGTCACACGATAGACCAATATGTGACAAAATCCTACCAAGCAATAGGCTTAGAAACCTTTTCTTTCTTTTTTTTTAGCTTTCTATATTGAAGCAAAATGATGAAAATCCATGTGCAATTGGGGAAGTGATATTCTCCCTGCCATGGTAGAAATGACCAAAATGATGCCCATGAGACAAGATGGCCAGAGTGTTAGGGGATAGATTTGGGATATCGGCTAGAAAACTTTGCTCAATGTGTGAAGAAGTTTGACAGGAGGTTTGTTAAACAGTTGGGTAAAAGTGCAGATGTTTCCAAGCTGATTCAGCTTAGGATATTTGCTAGATTTTGCTTCCACAGGAAATTAGCCGCAAAACATTTTCTTTTTTTTTTTTTTTTTTTTTTGGTGAGCCACCAAGGAAAAGATTTACTTGAGAAGAAACATTCTTAACAGTAAAAAGCTTGTAAAATTACTGGCCAATTACTAGGGATGATGTTTTGTAGAGAGGAAAAAAGTGCTCAGTGTAAACAGTACTGGAGTAGCACTTCTGTCAGGACAGGCTCACAGCTCTGGGCTTGCTTTCAGAGATGCTACCACTGTGGTTGGGTTGCTTGTAGGAAATCTATGTAGAAGGTGACAAACCCGGAAAGATGTGACTTTTTTTTTTTGGCGGAACCAGGGATTGAACTCAGATCCTTGTGTTTGCCAGTCAAGCGCTTATCCTACTGAGCCATCTCCCCGGCCCCAAGATGTGACTTTTGATATAAAGTGTAGATTGTTCTATTTGTTGTTGCTGTAAAAAAAAATGTCTAAGTCTTGGCACTTTATAACAAGAGGTTCACCTGAGAATATGGTAAAGTTTATGATTTCATGTATTGCAGAGGGACACTGGTACTTTTCTTAGTAGGTTGGCAGATTCAGACATTTCAGTTTGCTTTACCAAGTAAGACTGAGAGCTGTTTGTTATGACTACTTCCACATTTACAGGCACAAGTTTTGGTCCTTTGCACCTTGTGAGACAATTGTGTAACTCAGCTCAAGCAAGAAAGACATTTCTCTGGTAGCTGTTGGGCTCAGGTGTCCTGCCTTCGGCCCTCTGATGTGTCCGGTACCAGTAGGAAGTATTGCAAGCTGAGCTCATCTTTATTGCCTGAAAGCAATCCCTAGAAACTGAGCTGACACAGTTGGAACTAGAGAAGGTCTCTACGTCATTGTACCTACTTTGTACTGACCTCTTCAGATGTAGCATCTACCTGGTCTGAGAACACATAGTCTAGGTGGGTGGCTACTTCTAACCTTCAGTGAGTTGATCCCCACGGGCTACGGCTGTTTGCTCAGTAATTCCCAGACATGGCTAAGTTAATTGCACTGGATACTCAGTCCCTGTTATTAATTTTATCAGCCAATTACTCATTACTCATGTATAATTTTGAAATCCAATCTAGTGAACTAAAAAGTGAACCATTGCACTGTCATTATTTGCCAAAAAGGGGCTGGGAATGCACTTTGTGTGAAAGCCCTTTCTTAGTTTCCTCTTTTATAAATCCAAGAAACCTGCATTTTAAGTTGGAGAGCCTTTCAGGGCACTCATTAATGATTTGTTGGTTGATTAAGTAATTAATCAATCAATCAATCATTTAATTTTCTCGGTCTCCAGACAAGACTGCACCTGCCTGATCTTATATGCAGTTGTTCACTTTCTTTAAGCTATGTTACGGAGTGCCATGGCTTTCCTTTGGGGATGTGTGTGTTTCCTATTTTAAAATAAATAAATAAGATCTGTGTCCTGTTTAGTCTTTCTAGCTGGCCTGCTTTGTTTCTGCTTCCCATCGTAGAGTTGCTTCTGTTGCAAGGATGAAAGGACTGAAGGCCAGCAGGGACCACTGACCAGCCCAAGGTCACCTGACCTTTTGCTGGGAAAGCCCAATGTAGGGTGGCCTGCCTGGCTCTGAGTCCAGGGCTCACCAAAGCTGCAGCTGGAATGGGACTTCATATTGCAGTTGCTTGGCTTGCCAGCCCTCTCACACTCCCTCAGCCGAGCACTGGTTTACAAATTGATAACTGCTTAATGTTTGTTTCTATCTCCAAGCCTTAAGCCGTGCTTTTTTCCCCTCCTCTGGTAGAAATCTGATATCCAGGACAGTGTCTGCTACAAGACCCAGCTCTACCAGATAGAGAAGTGCAGGGCCACCAAGGAGCCCTATGAGGTAAGTGAGCCTGAAGCAAACCCTGGAGTAAGAAGAGTCTGTCTGCTGGGTGTGGCGGCTCACGCCTTTCATGCTGGCACGTTGGGGGCACTGAGGTGGGAGGATCATAAGTTTGAGCCCAGCCCAGGCAGTTTGGTGACTTAGAGAGACCAGTTCAAGTTAGAAAGTAGTAGAAGGGGCTAGGAACGTAGCTTACATGAAAGCCCTGGATTCAATCCCCAATATGTATGTACCAGAAAAAGGGTAGATCTCCACTGGGTGGAGGAAGCTAGTCACTGTGGGACATGGCAGCCCCCAAGATGCACTTGTAATCAAGCCCTTGAGAACTGGTTTGCGGCAAAGCCCCCATCTCTGAGCCACGGTTCTCACTGTGGCTACACAGAGATGCTCAGAGTGTTTACACATCCGGGTAACCAGGCTGTACCGCAGACCAAGCACATCTGTCTTGGGGGGCAGTATTTTATATAGCTCCCTGGATGAGTCCATGAGAAGCTATGGTGGGAAAGCCTTGTCAGTGGTCCCGGTAAAAACAGTGTGCTCAGAATACAGCAGAGGGTCACGCTTCTTGTCATCACTGAGAGAAAATAAGATAAGGAGCAGGGTAAGTTCCAGATGAAACCACAGATAGTGCCACATGAAAGCAAGCTTCTCTAGTCGGTGAGTTCATATTACCTAGAGCATACCTGAACGAAAGCACCCATGTTCTCTAAGTTCAGAATAAAGTTTAGTGTTCTGTAACGAACTATCACAACTCAGGGCTCCAGAGCCATGTGAGTGAGGAGACTGTCTCTGAACTCAACTCTGGGCCAGCAACACAGGGTTTCCTGAGCATCTTGGTCAGGTGGGGTCTCCTTTCTTAGTGATTTTTCCAGGGAACCATTACCATTCCCCCTCTGGGACCTCTGTCCTGTCCCCTGCATGTCTGTCACAGGGTCCTCTGGGAGGACATTCAGGAATTCCTTCATGGGAGGAGAGATCAAAGGGGCCCTATCACACCCCAGCCACTTCCCTCTTTCCTTTTCCAGTGTAAAGTTTTCCTCCTTTTTTTTTTTTTTTATGTGTCAATTTCTTTATTCTTTTCTATCAACTTATATGTTTAACTTTGTGCAAATATTATTTACATTGTCTTGACAATATTTTCTAAATTTTTTCTTCAAGTTTCTCTTCATAAAGTTTTCCTCCTGATACACAGGTCCTGCACTTTGCTGAGGAGGCTTTCCCTCTAGGGTTCACTTTCTTAGCCCGTGTGGGAACCCAGCAACTTTGAATGCATGGCCCCAAGTGTGAACATGATTGGAGCTCAGGAAAAGGGCCAGCCCTGAACTTGAGGCCAGTGGTGGGAAACATGGCTGCTCATTCTAGACAGAGCCTGGGACAGGGGAGGAGAAAATGACTAAGATATTGGCAAAAAATGGCCAGGGAGACCATGGGAATGGAGATGATGTTACATGCAAAACTCAGCAATGTTGGCTGAGCAGTTAACTGGAGCAGGTTAGGGTGACCAGCAAGCTCTGTGGAGGTGGAGGAGGCAGGGATAGGGGCAGGGGGAAGAAGAGAGCAGTCAGTGATGCTCAGCCTCTCAGTCAGGGATGCTGGAGGGAAGAAAGGAGAATAAGACTTCCATGGAAGGATGCTGTCTTAGTTACTTTTCTCTCATTGCCGAGACAAAATACCAGACACCCAGGATTAAAGGGGGAAAGGTTTATTGAGCTCAAAGTCTGTAGAGGTTTTAGTTCCCAATGGGCTGCCCCCAGTGCAGAGTGGCACAGTAGACAAGCATCGTAGAGGAGAAACAGTTCATGACAGGCAGAAGGTAGCAAAACAACAAGGGAGAACCACGGCTCTGTGTATTCCTCTGTCTCATCCAGGCTACTTAGGGAGGGTAGCACTCACACCCTTAATCCTAGAAGCCTTGAGCCTAGTGTGGACCATGAATCAACTTGAGTGTCACACACTCTAGATCCAACCACTTCTGAAAAAGCCCCACTGATGGCTGCATGAGCCTTTGGGGGACATCTAGACATGAGGCTTTGGGGGGACAAATATGAAGGGTTGAGAGTAGGGGATGGGTCTCTGCCTCCTTCCTGAGCCTGGCCTTAGGGCACTGAGATAACAGATTAGAAATGTGCTTTAGGGAGGGAGCATTGTATCTGGCAGGAGCTGAGCCTCAAGCCCATGTGTGGCGAGAAGGGTGGCACAGGGACTCAGCTGCCCCTGAGCTCCACATCCCTCGGGCCAATTCCTACTCCATGTTGACCTCCTTTTACATGAGTGCAGATGTCTCAGATCTAGCATACTCAGAGCTCAACTGTCCCCTGACATCCTCTGACAGCCCATCCTCCCCAGTGTGCGGAGCAGAGGCCTAGGAGTCTGTGAAGTTCATCCTTCAGCAGGCCTACCTCTCCCCTGCGTCTCTGCCATGGCCTTCTGTATGCCCCTACTCTGCCCTCTCTTCTGCATGGCAACCAGGGAGAGCTTTTCCACCCCTGCTGGCACCGTGTCACCATCCTGATGACCTAGGCTCCGCTGGCCTGGAGGGCAGGCTCCGTGCCACAGCCATCTGTGCAGGCTGCCCCCTGCTCACTGCCTCCCAAACCTCGTGTCTCAGCCACATGTCAGGCACACACCCAGCCCACTCCTGGCTTCAGCGCTCCTCTGGGCCTGGGGCTGAGCACACATTCTCCCCTTTCTAGCCCTCTGCTCAGTGTCTGTATGTCTTCAGACTCCAAGGCAGGGTCTGCTGCTCATGGATCCCTGCCATTCCTTGACCCTTGCCACCGGATCCCATCCCTCCAGCCCGGTTGTCACACTATGTTGTACAGACGAGGATGGTCCTGTTAGCAGATTCTCATTTTCTTGGGTATTGTTTGGTTAACACCTCTCTCCCACTGTGGACTCTGGGTTCCGTGAGAGCAGGGATTGACTTGGTATCCTAGAGCCTACCTGGTGCCATGCAGGCATATAGTAGGTGTAAAGTAAATATTTGCCAAAGGAACAAAGGAAAGAGTCAACCAGAGGATCTTTCCTGAGTCTCAGAAAATGGATAAAACTGGGCCAAGCAAGTGGAGAGTTGTAATCTTGCAGGTGGGCCACCTCCTGGATGGCAGTGAGGGAGGTGCCTGGGCTGATCATCATCATGTGGCCGTAGCTCAAGGCAGGAGGGGGCAGCTTCCAGCCCGTGCCTGGAAGGCGCTCACCCTGCCGAGGCAGCGGATGCACAACTCACCTTGGGCTCCTTTACCTCTTGGTCTGCATCTGTGTCACACAGTGAAGCAACTTTACCCACAGGGAATGCTTGGTGTGTGCAGCCTGCACGCCCCCACCCCTGCCCGCTGCCGCACCTGTCTCATCCTCTCCACGACCCTCACACCCAGCCTGTGCAGCTGTGTGTCTGAGTGTCAGAGCCCTGAAGAGAAAGGGCCTCTTCTTGCACTCAGATTCTTTTTCTCCAACGGTTATTTCACTTGGCCTGAAAACACATGGTGAACGTTTTAAACATTTGTTAAAATATTGAACCATTAGGATTTAAATAGGAGCACTAATGGGCAAACAGTGCTTCAATTTTCTATGATCCATTTGTTTTCTCCAAACTGCAGTGATACTTCTGCTAATTAAATTATGAGCTGTTATGAGCGTGCCCAGCTTGTCTCTGTTGGAACCTAGAGAGCAGAAGGGGGTGAGTGAGAGGACTCCCTGGGAGGCCTGCGAGGGCCCAGGCCCCGCCTCTGTCCACTGCTGTTGCTCTTGTGGTGGAGCAGAGGTGGTCACACTGTGGGGTGGAGGGAGGGTGGGGACAGGGACCTTGGTACAGTTGCAGGTTCTTTGACAACTGGCTGGGTGGGGATCAGATGTACAAAGCCATGTAACTGACCACAAAGATGGCCTGGTACTACCTCTTCATTCTAGCCCTTTTTTCTCCAACTAGACAAATGAGCTGAATTCAGTTTTAGAACCTTCCCACTTGGGACTACAGTGCTGTGATTTTTAAGGCTTGTTATTGCTTCCATCTCTTCTTCCTCTAAAAGGCAGGAAATAGATTTGGAAAAATGGGATAACTGTCTCACCTGAAGACACCTGTGCATGTACCCGTGGGCCCCTTTTCCTAAGGCAGAGTTCCTCAGGGACCGTGGTGGGGGAGGTGCCCATTCATTTTTTTTTTTTTTTAAACTAGCTATTTAAGTCATGTAGGTACAGCCACTTTTGTTAGTCATTTCTAAAAATTAGTGTCCATTAAAGATGTAAAAACCAAACAGGAGGTCTTTTCTGAAATGGAAACTAATATTTGGGTTTTGGGAGAAAAATTACAGAGTGGACCAAGGAGACCGGGTTCAACCGATCAGGCTGCTCTGGCAAATGCTATCGCTGAGCAGCAGTTCATGGCTGTGCAGCTTCGGAGGCCGACAGCCGAGGCCCAGGTGGTGACAGAGCGGGCTCGTTTTGCGGGCTGCAGACTCTGCGCCGGGCCTCTTCCTGGGCCAGCGGCAGTTGCTGGTGATCACTGGCTTAGAGACATCTCACCATGATCTCTGCCTTCGTCTTCATGCAGCACTCATTCTCCTGTGCATGTCTCAATGTCCACATTTTCACCTTTTGCAAGGACACAGTCACTTTGGATTCATTCTAACCTGTTTTAACCTGATTACCTCATGAAACCCCGACCTCCACGTAAGGTCCAATCTAAGGTCCTGGGGCTTAGAACTTCAGCTTAGGAAATTTGAGAGGATGTTATTCAACCCACAACAGGGACAAAGAGTTCAAAGGTAAATATTAAAATGCTCATTTGGTGTTTTATTTAAAAATCAATGCAACTTTCAGAAATGAAGTACAGAATCAGGTCAGATGGGCTGTGCTACTGGAAATCAAAACAGCCTTACTTTTGTGCACAGAAAGGCCGAAGAGGATGTGAGGTGTCATCCCCTGAGCCCCGCCTGGGGTCTGTTTCTTAACTGGGTGCCGTTGCCATGGTTTTCGCTGGTTGCTGTCGTGTGTGGTACTGGGGATTGAACCCATGGCCTTTGCTCTGAGCTATATCTCCAGCCCTATTTGAATGTTTTTATTTCAAGACAGGGTCTTGCTAGGTTGCCCAGTTGGGCTTGAACTTGTGATCCTCTGTTTCAGCCTCCCAGAGTGCTGGGGTTAGAGTCATCCACCTCCATGCCTGGCTTGTTTTTGCTGTTTGAGACACTTTGGCTGCTTGCTCCTCATGAGAGGGTTGCTCTGTTCTGAGTTAGAATTTGATAAAAAGTGTACCTAAAAAAATCTAGTCAGCATAAAAATTAGGACATCTGCCACTACTTCCACTATGATTTAGAGGTTTGATTTTTTTTTTTTTTTTTTTTTTTTTTTTTTTTTGTGTGTGTGTATAAACATTGAGATGAATAATTTTCAGTCAGAGCTGCTGGTGAAGTGGTAGAGGTTGAGTTTAGGGAATAAACAGCAGGTGCAACTTCTTAATTGTTGAAAAATGGTGCTTTTCACAGGCCTCCTTGGACACCTGGACAAGAGACTTTGAATTCCATTCTGTTCAGGTAAGAACTTGGGGGTTAAGTCAAGGTGGACAGAGGAACAGTCACACTCTCTCTGTCTCTGTCTCTCTGTCTCTATCTCTGTCTCTGTCTCTCTGACTTTCTATGTCTGTCTCTGTGTCTTTCTCTGTCTCTGTCTCTTTGTCTTTCTGTCCCTTTGTCTCTGCCTCTCTCTCTGACTCTGAGACTCTGTCTCTCTGTCTCTGCCTTTCTATGTTTCTCTGTCTCTGTCTCCTCTCTGTCTCTGAATTGTGGGGCTGGCAGGCCCACAGTGTGCAGAGTAGGCCAGCAGGCTTAAGACCTAGGAGAGAGTTGATGCTGCAAGTCAAGTTCAAAGGCATCTAGAGGCAGTTTTTTGTGTAGACCTTCTTTTCTTTCTCTTAAGGCTTGCAATTGATTGGCTAGAACCCACCCTCATTATGGAGGGTAATCCACTTCATATCTGCTGATTTAAATATTAATATCTAACTACTTTCACAGGAATATCTAGACTGGTATTTGACCAAACAGCAGGTACCATGACCTAGTTGACTTGGCAAATGAAATTTACCATCATGTGGGACCCCAAGGATTGATCGGTCTCTGCCCCAGACATCAGGGCCTGCAAACCCCTATCATCAGTCTGGGTTAAAATATGCAAAGTCTTTCTGTGAGCGTGGGTTTATCAGAATCCCTTCAGACCAGATGGGTGCTTGCTTTGCTGAGCTGACTGTGTTTCAGTTGTTTTACTTTAACCACACACCAGGCTGTGCCTTCCTCTTTCTACCTGGTTCGGAGATGGAGCTCATAAACAGCCCAGGGTTTCCTGGCTTAGTGCCTCACTTATGAACCTGATTTTCTTTTTATTATTTCACTCATAGCTTCTTTTCAGCTGCAGAAATCAGGCTTTTTCTTATGTAATGGGCAGCAAGGAACCAAGACCAATCAACCAGTGACACCTGGGCCCCTGGGCCATCCCAGGTGTTACTGTGTGGCACCTGGTGGTGATGTTCCAAACAGCTGCATAAGGCTTCCTAATCACTAGGTTAATCTGCAAGTCCCAGAAACACCCCTCCCCCATGAGTTGGACTGAGAGGTACAACTCTGCTGGCCTCAGCCCCCAGGGCTCCTTTGCTACCAGAGCCACTTTCCATGGTCCACTCTGAGTGAGTGGAGGCCAGTTCCTCAGGCAGCAGGTCTTCCTCCAGCCTGGGATGATGGGAAAGCTGAGCACATCCATTCCAGGCAAGTCAGCGCGTTTGCTATTCATACAGTAAAGCAGATGCAATGTGGAGTCGTGCTTATCCTCAAAGAGCCAGAAAGGACCCACACTTTTGATCGCAGAAAAGGAAATAGTTAAGTAAAAATAAATGGCATGCCCAAGATTACCCAGCAAGTTATAGAAAGAGCCAGGAGTAGGTTCTAGATGTCCAGAGTGACAAGCCCCTACCACAGCGGTGTTCTAGAAGCTCCAGGCAGGAGCCTATCATCATTCTGCAGGGGCTGTGACACTCCCACGGCACAGACAGCAGAGAAAAGCCTAGGAAGGACTAGCCCTCTGGAAGACTGGGTCTCTTCCTTTCATTGGCTGCTGACAGCTGCACATGTTTCTTCCCGGTGGCCCAGGAGAGCAGCACCCCATGGCTACTTCTTCTCTTTCATCAAATGGTACAAGATGCTGAAAGAGTTTGGGGGTAGATAATTCTTTATGGGGCCACATTTTCAAAGTACCCAGTTTTGTAAGTGTCCAGGCACATTTCCAGTGGGTGGAAGCGGTAGATAGAGAACAAAGCTGTACCGTGGGCGGCATGCATCTGGGCCTTGTGTGTCTCCTCTCCGATCTGCCTGAGGAAGCAAGACTGTGCTTCGCCTGCGGAAAAGATGTGCCGCAGAGCTGAGAGCTTGAAATCCCTCACCAGCCCTGAGGCTGAGCTTGGTTCTGGGAGCACTGGCCTGGAGAATCAGAGGGAAGCCCGGTCCCTGCAGGCAGCAGCATCGCCGGGTGGGGGCTATGCTGTGCAAGGGAGGCTGTAGTTAGTGCCTCCAAAGATCTTTTTTTCTGTTATATAAAGCAATTTAGTGTCCTGCTTCTTAGAAAATTTCTTTTGGAGAAAATAGACCATGCAAATGAAAAGGTATAACTGGGTGATCGGTTGCACTTAGTAGCCTGGACTTGGAGGGCAGTGAGGTCAGCTGGTTGTAAGCAAAAGCACTTCTTCTGGGCTGTTGGCCCTTCTACAAGGACTAGTGCATGTTCTCTTGCCCACTGGGGTTGTCAGGAGTGAATTCTTGACAGATTCCCTGAAGCTGGGTACTAGGAAGCTGCTGACTCTTGTTCCCTGGGGGAGGATGTTTTGAAGGTTTGAGGACACAAGCGCTCAAGTGCCTCCATTTTTCTACAGATGACTCGAATGTACCTTTCTTTCTTTCTTTCTTTCTTTCTTTTTTTTTTTTTTTTTTTTTGGTGGAATCAGGAATTGAACTCAGGCCCTGTGCTTGCCAGGGAAGCGCTTGTTCCACTGAGCCATCTTCCCAGCCCCTTCTTTTTTTTAAGGTTATTAAAGCTTTATTATTCAATCTATTTTCTTCTTTTTCCATAATTTTATTGAGAAACAAATAGCAATGAGACAGTTTCAAATCAAATTGGTAGGACAGTTTCAATAATTAACACATTGCATACTCTCTTCCTAGTGGTTAATTGCTGTACAAGATGCAGACATGATATCCTATTTACAAACACCATTGGAACAATGCCTCTGTTCATGAAGAGAATGTAACTATATATCTATCCTAACCATTTTGAATACACAGATACAAAATGGACATTCATCTGTATCCCCTTTTTTTGCTTAGTTCCGTCATTTAAATATTATAGGTGTGTGAACTCAGCAAAATATTCCAAAATAGTCCAGTAGTCCATAATTGTATTGGGTCTTCTGCTTGCCTGGCAGTGTCAGAAGCTGTTGACCTGAGTCCCCTACAGCTGGAATGTACCTTTCTTTATGGCAGAGCTGTACTCCATTGTGTGTAAACACAGTTTCTGCATCCATTCATGGGCTGATGGACACATAGGCGCCTTGCATGACTCAGTGATCGTGAGCTGTGCTGCTGTAAACATGGGTGTGCAGGAACCACTGGATAGGATGCCTTTAATTCTTCCAGGAAGGTTCCTAGAAGGGGAGCAGCTGGGTCAAGTGGGGTTTCAAGTTCTAGTTTTTGGAGCAATCTGCATACAGATTTCCATAGTAGTAATACTAGTTTATCTTCCCATCAACAAAAGTACATTGGGGGTTTTCTTGTATAATGTATTAACATGTAAAAATGATGACTTTCAGAGAGAGAGAGTGAGAGAGAGAGAGAGGGAGAGAGAGAGAGAGAGAGAGAGAGAGAGAGAGAGAGAGAGAGAGAGAGAGAGAGAGAGAGAGAGAGAGAGAGAGAGAGAGAAAAGAACAAGGAAGAGAGATGGAGAGAGAGGGGAGAGAGAGACAGAAACAGAGATGGAACTAAAGGTAGAAATTCTTCTAGTCTTTTCAGGACAGATCAGCCTTGTCCCTTTTGAAGCACTCTGTGTGTGTGTGTGTGTGTGTGTGTGTGTGTGTGTGTGTGTGTGAAGCTTATTCTCCTTTGCCCTAGAGGAAGTGGCCTACAAGTGTCTCATGCACACAAAGGAGCATGAAGCAGTGAAGAATCTTGACTGTCCTCACCCAGCCTTGCCCGGAGGGGTCTGGAGCACAGAGGTCCCCTTTGTAGCACCCTAAATGTCTTCATGCTTTTGTGCTGCTCTAACAAAATGCCTGAAAGTGAGTAATTTATAGAACATAGAGATTATTTATTTCTGGTAGTTTGGGATGCTGAAGGCCTGAGCTTGATGCTGCCATCTGCCAAGGGCCTTCTAACTACATCAGAACCTGGTGCAGGGCACTACATGGCTAGGAAACATGCCCAAGGGAGAGAAAAGTCTAGCTGGACTCATCCGTTTGTTTGGAGCCTACTCCTGTGGTAGCTAATACAGTCCTGTGAAAACAGATTTCATTCCTTCTGGAGGACAGGGGTCATCTGACCTAATCACATTTTTAAGGTCCTAATTCTTTTTTTTTTTTTTTGGTACCAGGAATCCCAGCCCAAAAGTCTTAATGCTTTGAGTATGTTTTGTTTGTTTTCAAAATGGGATCTCACTACATTGTCCAGGCTGGCTTTGAACTCCTGGCCTAAGTGATGCTCCTGTGTCAGCCTCTGCAGTATCAGGAACTATAGTCATGAAGGGCCACACTATACTTCAGGTTCTACCTCTTAAGACTGTTACAGTGCCAATTAAATGTCAACACAGACGTCGGAGAAGCATTCAAAGCATAGCACCAGCAAACAGCGTGAGCACACAGCCTTTCCACGGCACACCTTGAGGAGCTGGAGGATGACAGCGGCCCTCTCCACTGCACAGCCTCTGTGTGGTCTTCCTCTCCCCTACTGGCCTGACCTGGGCCCATGAAGGCTTTGAGAGGGCTGTGTCGCCTCTCCGGGTTCACAGCACCAAGCTTGAAGCTGTGAGAATCTGAGCATTTGGTCTGTTTCTGAGTGAATTATTTAACCACCCTGGGCTGTTTCTTCATTTATAAAGGGGAAAACAGAAGCCACCTCATTATGAGTCTGCTCCGTGGGGCTCCCTGTGGTACATGGCAGCCATTCAGGTGCTGAGGTAGCGTCCCCCTTGTTTCTTTCCATCCCCACTGGGGATGAGCCACTTTGGCTAAGGCTTGGGCCCAAGGAACTGTTGCCTCTTGAGACGGCTCTGAAGGCCCCGCATCCTTCCCCAGTTTCCATTTCCTCCCTGTTGGTTTCTCCCATTTGAAAACCAGACAAAGCGAGCCTCACTAGGCAGCCGCACTGCACGCCCTCGGCAGAAAGGGCACTGTTGGAAAAGTGCTAAGATGTATCTCGTTGAGCAGCTTTTCAGCAACTTACATGAAAAATAGATGAGCTCTCTTGAATTGCAAATGCTCTTCAAGTTGAAGGCAAAAATGTGGAAATCTGTCTTTGTGCCTCAGCCAGGGCGAGGTCAGGGATGCGGTTGCCTGTTTCCTAGTAAACATCAAGCACAGTCTTGAGGGCCAGGAGAAGAACTTCCTAGTGACATCCCCTTCCCAGAAACCTGAACTCAATTCATTTGAATTCAGTTCAGTCTCCACTGTCCTTTATTTTTCTTAAGGTTTCAATAACTATTTATTATACAGTTTCCAAGTGCCTGGCTTCATGCCAGCGGCTGTGGGGTGGAAGATATGTCAGATACCAAGTTCACTCCCCTTAGAGGGATTTCAAGCCAGGCTATAACAAGGTTTTTAGCAAACAAGCTGCACACATGGGAGTTTTCAGTGCTCAGGCAAGTGCTTGAATGCCCAGAGGGTGGGACGGTCCAGAACCCGTCTAGGGCTGCACAGGGCTCTGTGGTTTTGTTCACTTATGTTGGACACTTCCTTAAGCTGCAAAGTCTTTATTGTGGGTGGAATCTTAAGGCACCACTTTACAAACGTGTGATCAAAAATCCGATGAATCTTTACATTAAAAAGACTTCATACAGCGGAAGACACACTGCCATGAGTCGCCCTCAAAATACTCTTTCTTTCAAACACTCTTATCCCGCTGTCCCTGCTGCTCTCTGGTGCGGTTCTGGAAGTCACGGTTCCGTCTGCTCATGGCGCCTTGGTGCTCTGGACCACTTCAACGCGCTGCAGCGATTTCTGTCAAGTGAAAGCAGTGCCGTGCGTCCTCGCCCACCTCAGTTACTGGACCTGTGCCGTGTGCCTCCTGGCCCTTCCCCAAAGTCAAGATGATGACCATGAAATTCTGAGTTGATTCGGAGCGCCAGGGCACCCCCAACAGCACAGCTAGAGACATTCACGGCAGAGGACTTGCAGAACTGCCTGGGGAGTGGCGAGAGGTGTGTGGGGTGTTCCGAGGGAAGGGGAGTCTTAGGAGAGGTTAATGACGATGCGTCTTTGACTGTCATAAGTGTTAAAGATTTAAACATTCGCTTATTTTTGGTCATCCAAAAGCCTCCCAAAGTCTTTCTTTTTCGTTTCTTTGTTTCATTAGTATGTGTTTGTGAGATGCAGTCTATCACGGGGACTTGGTTCCTGCACCTGGCACATCTTGGCCCTTGTACTCCTGTCCCTTCATTGCCCTCCTATCTCCTTCTATCCCCAGATCTGCTTCCTGTCTCACAGGGTCAACCGCCCTGTTTCCTATCAGATATCTTTTATGTTTCTCTTTAAATTAGTTAAATTTTGGGTTTCTCAGAGAAAGTGTGTGATATTTAACCTTCTGTGTCTGATATATTTCACTTAGCATTATGGCCCCAAAGTGCATCCATTTTCCTACAAATGCCTCACAGGTTTCCTTCCCTGGGGCTAGTTGGGGAATAAACAGCCTCCCAGGGTAACGCTCCCTGCACAAGGCCTGCTAGGTAGGCACAGGCGCGGCGGGGCCTCAGCTCTCCCCTCAGTCAGCCTTCAGAAGCATGGAGGAGAGTTGAACAGCTCCAGCTCTGTAGCTGCTTGGATGATTTTGAAGAGGAATCCCCTGGTATGTTCTCAGGCATGTCTAAGTGTGTGTTGTGTTTGCTTCTGCTTTGAAGGACAAAAAGCCCAAAGAACAGGAGAAAAAAGGGGATTTCCTTCATCGCCCCTTTTCCAAGAAGACGGACAAGAACCTGCCCGCGCACAAGCAGCCCTCCTCAGCCTCCCTCATCACACAGATTCAGAACACCAAAGCGCTGCTGAAGGACCGGAAGGCCTCCAAGGCCAGCTTCCCTGACAAAGGTGGGTCAGCCCACCTGGGAACCTGGCGGATGTTCACCCTTATCAGAGCTAGTGTGCTGTGCACCCCTCACCAGGGAGGGCTGAGTGGAAAGCGGAGCAGGCGCAGAGCTGTGTTCGCACATCTGCAGCAATAGGAGGACTGTCCAGGGCCAGCCAAGCTGGGAGGCATTAGCTACCCACAGGAAGCATTTGAGAAGACGGCATGCATGGCATTTTGGGAGGAGAGGTTGAAGTATACAGCATTGTAGAGCAGAAGCATGGCACTGTGGGGACAGATGCTGAGGTGCAGAGAACTGTAGGACTAGAGACTGGGGTACGCTGTGTGTGGGAGTGGAGATGAGGGCGCATTGTATTGTAGACCACAGTAAGGGTATAGTGTTACAGGAGAAGAGACCAGGGTGTAGGAACCAAGATAATTGTGCAGGATCTGAGACTGAGACAGCTTTCTGGAACCTGAGATGAGTGCACGGTGTTGCGTGAGTAGAGACCTGAATGCAGAAATAAGAGGTCAGGTGCAGGAGGAGAGAGAGTGGTGGACAGAGGTGTAAATCGGCTTTGGTTTCCTTGGAGCCTTCCCAGAAACGTGGCTTGGAAACTCACTGAGATGTGACCGGTCTGGGCTCTGGGTGGAGGAGGGTGTTCAGAGCCACATTCAAATCCGAGTGGTACCACTTGTTGTAGGCACAGAGTCCCTGTTGGTTCCCCTAGTTGGAAGAGCTCCTGCCCATTGGAAGTGTTGGGTGGGTGGAATAAGAGAGGCATGGAAGATTCTCCATGTGCTTTGGAATCCGGCACATGGTAGACAGCTGATCAGTGTGAGTCTCCTGCTCCAGGATGAACACTGAAGTAGAAAAAGCTCACGAGGTACAGGTTTGACACACACAGGAGAAACACCTAGGGCGGGACACCGAGCCATGTAGCTGTGAGGTAGAGAAGTTCTTGTAACTGAGAGCACTGTTGAATCAAAGCACCTAATCCCTTTGTTTTAAATATGAAGAACAAAGGTTCAAAGAAGGCCATGCCCATCTGGGAGCAGCACAGGCTTGCTCAGCGCCCGGTGGGACTCCTAGCCTCTGTCCCCACATTGTGCAAAACCTCCTGCTTCCCTGGTGTGGAGCATGCAGTGGACCTGGTAGGGAGGTGCCTGTGTACTGACCAAGGATTGGGACATTAGTCCTGAACAAAACTTTACTTTTTATAATGATGAATTTCAGGCATCTGAACTGCTTGAGGAGGTTTGTTTCTGTGTCTGTGTTTATTTATGTAGGCAAGTCCTGGCACCCTCCATTGCTCCCCAAACCACTCGCAGTGGGCAGCAGCTTGCTCCTGCAGCTGGGCTTCTGTGGGACCTATAAAAATGTTACACAGAAAGAAGTCACAGAACTTAAGACAGAGCTCATTCTGCATGAATTTGGCCTTATTTCCCCCCACTCCATATCTGTAGGGGTTTCCCCTCTCTTCTGGCACAGCTTGCAATGTGGATTCCAGTCGGTGCCCACCATACATGGAAACCGTGTGAGCTGGCCAGTTACCTGAACTGTAGAGATGCATCCTCTTGTTGAGAACTGGGTCTGGATCCGGGGAGAGCAGGTCCTGAGGGAGCCTTGGCAGGGAGGGCAATCCCGGCGGGTGAACCTGGGCACACTGCGTGGCACTCACTGTGTGAGTCCACTTGCTGAGCACTGTCAGATTCATGGAGGCAGAAAGTGGAGTGGTGGTGCCAAGGGGGCAAAGAGAGAAGTGGGGAGCTGGTGCTTAGCAGGCACCTAGTGTCAGGTCTGCGAGGAGAAAACAGCTGTGGGGGTGGTGCAGCGCAGTGAACATGCTGGATACTACTGTACACCTACTTAAAGTTAAGATGATGAATTTTCTGGTATGTGTTGGTACTACAGTAAACAGTGGAGGGGGCTATGTAAGAGGATGTCTCCACTGGGTCAGATTTGTAGGTGCTCAGTGAGTCAGGCTCTGCACCCTTCGAGAAACTTTGTGGGTGTCTCATTGAGTGCATACACGTTTGTATTCAAAGCCCTTTTGGCAGTGTTTAGAATTTTAAGTAACCACACAAGAAGTCTGTATGAAGCTGGGGCCTCCTGTCCTCTCCACTCCAGGAACACTGTTGGGCGTCTGCGGTGTGGGCTGACCAGATGCCACAGCTGTCTCTCTCCAGTAGCTAAGCCTTTTCTTTCTTACCTCCTCTTGCCATCCAAGGGTCACTGACTCAGTTAAGCTGTTGGTCTGTGCTGGGAGGAGAAGTTCCCTGTGCACTGTTTCTGTGACTGTCATGATTTTGTTTTCGTATTGTGCAGATTCCTTCGGCTGCCGCAGTATTTTCCGCAAGACCTCTGATTCCAATTGCGTGGCCTCTTCTTCCATGGAATTCATTCCTGTCCCACCTCCCAGAACCCCCAGAACCCTAAAAAAAATGGAGTCCCATCAGCAAGGGCCTGGGAGCTCCAGCGTTGCCCCCAAGGAAGATCCCCTGATGCTGGACATGGTGCGCTCCTTCGAGTCTGTCGATCGTGATGACCACATAGAACTCCTGTCCCCATCCCATCGCTACAGGCTCCTGAACTCGCCAGTGAGCTTGGCTCGCAGGAATTCCAGTGAGCGGACCCTGTCCCCAGGGCTGTTGTCTGGAAGCACGTCACCTCTCCAAACTCCTTTGCATCCCACTCTGATCTCTGTTGCTCATGAAGATAAAAACAGCCCCCCAAAAGAGGAGGAGGTGGGTTCCCCACCTCCCGTTCCCAGCAGTGGCCCTGTGCAGCCTCTGGGGAGCCCCAACTGTGTCAAGAGCCGAGGCAGGTTTCCCATGATGGGCATTGGACAGATGCTGCGGAAGCGCCACCAGAGCCTGCAGCCCTCCGGAGAGAGGCCCCTGGAGGCCAGCATGCCTCCCCTGCAGTGCCCAGCCCCCAGCAGCCTTACCTTCAACCTGGCTGATGGGGTCAAGGGGCAGTGTTAACCTAGACTAGCAAGATGCCGGTTTTCTGTAGGGAAAGCAGCAGAACAGAGCTCCACACATCTGTCAGTGTGTGAACAATGACCTCTTCTATGCCTGCCACGCAACTTCCAAACCGTGGATCAGCCCATATCCACACACCCAAAGCCTGCACAACCCAGCCTCCCCTAGGTGCTCCCGAGATGCTGGAAATCACCAGGAGAGCTGGCTGCGGAGGCGGGGGATTGCAGGCTCGGGCTGTCCCTCCTTCCACCCACTCACCAAGCCCTCTCCTGTCTTACACTGCTGGGCTTGGGGCTGGAAACCATGCATCCAACCAGACTGATCTAGACTGGTACAGGTCTCTCCTCCCTCTGTGCTGTGTGTGCACCTCTCAGTGGTTGCTGTCTGCTCAGCAGTGGGTCCCAGCCTCTGAGGAACCAGCAGCAGGCCAGGTCTGTCCATGGAGACCATATTTCCTTCAGAGTGGACTGGCTTAGGAGTGGTGACCTGGAGCGCTGGGCCCCTAGAACTGAAGAGAAACATGGAACAGATCCTCAGACTAAAGATGGGACAGTCTGGACCTGGATGGAAGAAAACAGCTAAAGGAAACACTTGTCACAAGAGAAACTTTGGTGATGGTGATGGGCACTTGCTGATGGTTAGGATTTTGTCCAAAGAAATTTCTTTTTTCTTGATGGGATGAAATAATGTGATTTTTTGAAATCTGGCTGGAGAAATGAAAAACAGTCTCACCAAATTCATATTTGCAGGTGAGGATACAGCTCAGAGGGTAGAAAAGCTGGCTCAGGTGGTGTTTGATGGCATCGGACTGCAGTGGCCTGCAGGAGGGGGCAGGATCCCAGTCGCCCTGTGCTCATCCTGCTACACCAGCAGAGCCACCAACCTCCGAGAAGGCATGGAACACAGCTGGCTCTTTACAAAGAGAGAAGGAATGTTGCAGCAGGGCTGGGTGGCAGGAAGGCCACCGTACCTCTGTGCCACGCAGATTTCACACTGCCCAGGAACGACTTGTGATCTGGAGTTGAGCTGTTCTGCTTTGAACTGTGAACAGGCTGGCTAGGCAGGGAACATGTTCAGAACAGGACACTTCCTTCCTCTGGAAAGCAGCCTCCACCAAACAGGGTTACAATCCATGTTGTGTTTTCACACCTTTTGCCAAGGATCGAACCAAAGATGTGTCTCCACTTTTGTGACTGTGCTGTCCCTGTGTGTGCGTTTTGTGAACCCTGGTGTTTGACTGCATCCAACTGGAGCCTGATGGGTGCTTTCTCCAAGGAAGGCCTGGGACCTGGCCTTTGGTCATGGGCAGAATTGCAAGAAGGGAAAAAATTAGCACCCTTTGAAATCAGTGGACTGGGATGGCATAGGTTGGATAGCAGTTAAGTTTAGGAGATGGGTTATGGAATGGCCTAGAATCCTCCGATATTTTTTACTTCTGTTTCTTTCCTGTGGTATTAGGGATTGAACCTAGGACTAAAAAAGTGCTCAGGTGCTGAGCCATATTATTAGCCCTTTTTATTTTGAGACCAAATCTGACTAAGTTGCCCAGGCTGCCTTTGAGCTTTCCATCTTTTGCCTTAGCATCCCAAGTAGCTGGCATAACAAGCATGCACACCATTATTGGAAGATTCAACTTTTGACCAGTAGAGATGTGACCTGAGACTACCACTGGGGCCACACCCTTGGGTCATCTCAGTCCATTTATTCCAAAGTGGGCCAAGTCCCTGGATGATGGCAAGCCAGCCTTCATTTTCCAGTGGGGCGCCCTCTGCCATCGGAGACTTCCGTGGTCCCCTCCCAGGTCTGAGTCAGCAGGACAGACCAGATCTCTAGTCAACTGTGGAAGTAACCCAGCTGCACTGGCAAGACCTAGAGCTGCTGAGTCCCTTGAATGGGAATCATTCCACCTCTAGGCCATGATAGGAGGGCATCAGTCTCCTTGCTGTTGATTATTCCTTTGTGTAGTTTCAAAGCAGGTTCTGAGCTTTACACTGAAAATGGAGCTTTTTAAGCAGAAAAAGAGAAGAATCATCCAGTAGATCCTCTCTCCTTTTGACATCACATACTTGATTTTCAGTCCCTTTGTCAAGATGGCTTCCCCTCTAACTGCCCCCCTGAGCAGGCTAGGAGAACGTGTACCTGTACACCATGATCCTTGTGTCTTTTTTGTGCATTTTACTTTCCTTGCCAACCTGTGTGTTTCCGTGTTGCTGTTAGCTCGTGGAGAACGTGTTGATCATTCTTCGAGAGCAGCAGATGTGGTATCACCAGCTGCCGGGTTGCCATTGGCAACATGGACTCGAAGCTCAGGTTTACTCAGAACCAGTGAGTGGAGAGGAAACAGAGGAGAGGGACTAAGCTGTATTTTTAGTGTATGTGAGCACCCAAGAAATATGAAACTGAGTGAAAGAAAAGATGTTAAATTCTTATTATTTTATTATATTTATATGGAAAACTTGACTCTCCCTTTTGTAAGTACAGAGTGTTGTCTGACTCATGACTGTCCTCTAGCTATCCATGCCTGTGATTTCAGTCAGCCTATAGCTACTGATGGAAATGACCCAGCTGCCATGGGGTGAAGTCCAGGAGGAAAAGTCCATTTTAATTGTATGATTTGGTCATAAATAAGGACCATATTTATGTCACCATTATTAAATACATGTACTTTTATAATGACTGTGAAATACACTTTTTCCTCACTTATAACTGTTTCTTTATTTGCTAATGAATCTGAAAACATCAAACACATTGTAAAAAGAATGGTCGGCCATGTAAGGTGTTGGCCCAGCGACAAATTAGATCTAAGTGAGTACTGAGCCGTATAATGGTGGGAAACATGTTCCACTCCAGCGTCCCTGCTCCATTTCACCCACGAGAGGTCTGTGTGCACAAGAACATCTGACCTACTGCAGATAGCAGTTCACGATGAAGCAGCACTTCTTAGTTTTAAGGGCTCCAGATTTGTCACGGGGACTCTGAAATGTTGCATGAAGAGTGGTGAACGTTGCTTGAGGTTATAGTCCTTGTGTTAGGCCCAGAAGAGGGGCAACAGGGTCAGACTGTGGAGTCGGGCGGGGTGGATTACTGTTTAGCTCAGTCATCACTTGATAAACTCTTCACAAAATGTTTTTCATATGCTCTACCTTGTTTCAACCATGTCCCCTTTCAGAGCAGAGAATGAAGGCTTTAGGCAACTGCAGGGACTGGGGTTCGATCCCTGGTACTGCATGCCATGCCAGCCTACCCTGCCCTTGGGCACACTGAGACAGTGAGCAAGTCTGGGCGTGGTGACATTCGCCTGTAATCCTAGTGCTGGGGCAACTGAAACAGGAGGATCACTACCAAATACATAAATGAAAATAAATAAATAAGCTCATAGAGTGATGTGGCTAGAAAGTGGAGGGGGCCCTTTTTCTCACTATCCAAAGCTTGCTTCAAACTTTGGGGAGATAAAAGAACAAGTATCTAATTTTGATATTTTCTTGTAAGATCACTACATTTCTGAGTAGGCAGGAACCCAACAGTCTCTGGGTCAAGCCCAGCGTTTTTGATGAAGAGTACTTGGGACTCTTGGTAGTTTAAGGTCACCTGAGAGTCTCTGGCACGTGTCCTTAGGAACGCAGAGAAGTCAGCATGGTCAGCGGGGAAAGCTGATGTCATGTCAAGCTGTCCTTGCAGCAGGTATTTTTGAGGTGCCTATGAGGACCCAGTCTTTGCATTTTTAGTCTCAAAATTATGTGACTTCTTGAGATTCTGCACAATTTTGTGTGTATAACTTTCTGAGTGGCCGAGGTTTGAGCATCCCACACTTTCCAGCACCGACCAGTAGGCCTCAGGCCTGGAGATGGCTTTCTCATTGGACTCTTCCTCACTAGAACTCCTAAGCAAGCAGCAACCTCTGCACAGCTTTGTCGTCGCTTTAGCTCTCAAATGGCATTGGGTTGTATCAGATTAAATCATTCAAATTGTTTCCATATAGCCATCGCACAACGTGAGACAGTTTCAGAACGAATGCAAGACTAACATAGTCAGGGAGAGGTCTGGCAGCCTCTCGGTCGTTGTGTTTGTTTCTTTATGTGATTTTCTGTGTGCCACGGGCACCGTGAGCATGACTGAGAACAACTCTGGGAGCCGGTTCAATTGAATGTCATCACTTTCCAAGGAAAGAAGCATGTTTCCTGCGTAGTAAATGAGTGTATTATTCGTGGCAGGTCCTCCCCTGCCCCCCGAGAGCTTTTCAGACATCTGGATCCAGAGACAAATGGGTTGCATGCTTGTACTTCTTCTCTGTAGATGTGTGTTCACAGCACACAGTGAGGTCTAGGATTTATCGTCTGTGAGCATGCAGAAAAGGGGGTGGGGCAGGGTGTGCAGTGGACTTGGACGGAGATGACAGAGGCACCCCGGGCTTGGCAGCCGCCTCCCCCAGGTATGCAGGTCTGAGCTGATCTGCAGACAATGGGGCATTTCAGGTGGCCACATCTGGGAACATAAAAAAGCCAGGTTTGAAGCGGACTCCAGGATCCTCTGGAATCCCGTGGTTTGCAATGAAAAGACAGTGCACTGTGGAGAGGGAAAGGCTGTGGAACTGTTACTCTCAGGTAAAATTGGCTCTGACTTCAGGGCCCAAGCTACATATATTCCCTTCTCACTTAGAAAAGCAAAGACTTTGACTTACATTTAAGTTCTGTACTGTAACAAAAATGCATACTTTGTAGACCTGTTATCACAGCCTCCTGGAAAAGGGCAACGGCTTCCAGTACCGGAAACGGCTTCTCTGACATTGGGCAGCGCATTCATGGCGGATTTAAGCCGTGACTCCCTTCCTTGGCAGCCAGTGTGTTAGATCAGACTTTGCTTTCACAACGCATTCAATGGATTGTGAACTTGCCAACAAAGATTTGCTTCCTGCGTGGTTTTCTGCAGCTCGCTAACTCCAAAGCAGCTGTTCTCTGTGTGCTAATTCAGGGATCTGGGCTGCTTCGGGCTCGTGGCTCCATCAACTGTATGGGAAGACGCAGGGAGAGTCTTCCAGCAGCCTTGATGCTCTTCAAAGAGGGCACTGCTTCTTCTCACAGCCCCTTGGCTCAACAAGTCCTATGGTCTTGCCTGTGAGCACAGAGCTGGGAATTGGGGGAGCATATGCTATTGTGGGGTGCAGTTAATATTTCTGTCACCTTGGGAAAGGTCCAGACACCTGCCACTTAAAAATTCTCTATAAAGGGACGGGGAGATGGCTCAGTGGAATAAGTGCTTCCTTGGCAAGCACAAGGACCTGAGTTCAATCCCTGGTTCCACACAATAAATAAATAAATAAATCTCTATAAAAGGACTGGGCTTACCTCATTGTTGTACAATTATAGCGCTGCTTTGTGCATGAGGATTACTTTTTCTAAATAAAGACATTAGAATCCATAAATTTTAATATCTCATTTAACTTAAGGGTAGCATTTTGGCTGAATTGTGTGCTTCCCAGATTTCTATGTTGAAGCCATAGCCCCTAGTACCTGAGGCTTTTTTTGTTTGTTTGTTTGTTTGTTTGTTTGTTTTTTGTGGTACTAGGGATTGAACTCAGGACTTTGCACTTGCCAAGCAAGTGCTTATTCTACTGAGCTGTCTTCCCAGTCCCCCGGTACCTGAGAATGTGACCCTATTTAAAAGCAGGACATTTAAAGATACAAGGTGAAACGAGGCCATTAGAGTGGAACCTAATCTAATCTGACCAGTATGCACATAAGAAGAGACAAAAGGACACCAGAGAGCAGAAAGGCTGTGCGAGGACAGCGAGAAGGCGGCCATCTGCCAGCCCACAGGAGAGGCCTTGGGAGGAACTGGCTCTGCCAGCCCCTTGATCTCAGACTTCTGGACTCCAGAAAGATGAGAAAATATATTTTTGTTATCTAAGCCACCAAGCAGGTCATGGCAGCTCTAGCAGACTAACAAGGAGGGAGGCCAAACAATAACATCTGTACAGTCTACAGATATTACCAAATTCGTCCCACCTACTGAATTCATTTGTACCCTTTCTTGCAACTGAATTGCTCCCAGAAATTTCTCTGTTTTGAGAGTGAAACTCTACTTTTTGTATGTTCTGTGTGTGCTAAGCTCAGTGTGCCAGCTAGTTTCAAGAATATTTCTTACTTTAGTCCTAAAATTATAACTTTTTTCTGAAAAAAGCAAATATTTTAAGTTCTGAGGACTGCCACATAGTCTGTCATGTATTCTTGTTTTGTTTTTAGCTGAGTTTTTGTCTTTATTGTGCAAGTATTTTGAAATGTGAAATCCATTTTTATCTGGTGGATATAGAAAAACAGGCCTTGGGAGACTTCAGCCTTAGGCCGTGGTTTAACCCGATTTAATCTTCACCAGAACCCAGTGAAGTGTATATTCTCAGTGTGACAGATAAGCTTAGTTGGCTTTACCTAGGTCTTATGCCTTCTCCAGTCACACACCGCAGATGCCCACTTCAGTAATTCCCTGGGGGGCTTTTTTAATATCTGAGCTGGGGGGCGGGGTCTCTGGCTCCCTGGGAGGTCTGCTGGTATTGGTGATGAACTGGTTAAGAGTTTGGCAAATGGTTTCACCTAAGAAAAAGTGCAGATGGGGAGAAAGCGAGCCAAGCTTTTCTCTTTGTTACTCTTTGTGTCACTTTCCGTGTTAGTCTATTTTTTTTATTTACTGTAATGAAATAACTAAAGCTGGGTAAATTTATAAGGAAGAGAGATTTTTTTAGCTGAGGATTTTGGTCCAAGGTCAAGGTGGTTTTGCTGGCAGGATCTCAAGGTGGCGTAGGACATCACAGCGTGAGGAACAGGCACGCGTATGTGTGTCTATATCCTCTGAGCTCTCTTTTCCTGTACAGCAACAGTTTTCAATAGTGGGCCTCTATCCTGATGCTCTTGATCCTATCTCCCAAATGTCCTGCTTCTAAACACTACAGTTGAGTTATGTTTCCACCCTCTTAATATACCTTGCAATCCACTCAGCCTTCGGAACATACTCAAGCTCCATCCATTCAAACCATGGCGGTAAATTGCCAGTAAACTTGTTTGCTGTCACTTGTTTGCTTTAGAGGGCATCCTGGGCACAAGTCTGCTTCTACCACTTGGTTCCAACTTTTACATCCATTCCTGCCCCATCTGTGCAGACTGGAGCGAGGTCTGTGGCCCGTAAGTTATTTTCCATTTCAAGCCACTTTCCATTTCTCCTTTTTGAAGGGCTTCTCAAAAAATGGGCCCTTGTTTGCATATAAAAAGAGAGAGCTTGCTCCCAGTCTAAATGTGGAGCGGATGCGAAGCTGAATGATGCTGGTAGACGAATCATGGCCATTACTCACAGCTGGATGACGTGGAGCCATGGGCTGGACAAGCATCCGTGCCACTGAAAGGGATGAATTGTGCCATCTGAGTCAGAGAGTTCCAAATAGTGCATTCAGTGCCCTTCCTACCCACGGCCACTTCAATTACATGTGACATTTGAGAGCATCCAGACCCATATTGGAGGCTCACAAGGACAGAGTGTGAAGCAGTCACCAAGGAACTTCTGGGGTCTCAGGGTGAGCACAGCTCAGCTTCCTGGGGCATGGCTTTCATAACTCATTGATAATTTAATCACAAGACAAAAGACTCGAGATGAATGTGCCATGCATGCAGATACAAAA